GGCACCTGTAGTCCCAGCTACTTGGGAGGTGGAGGCAGGAGACTCGCTTGAGCCCAGGAGTTGGAGGTTGCTGTGAGTTGTGATGCCACAGCACTCTACCCAGGGGGACAGCTTGAGGCTCTGTCTCAAAAAAAGAAAAAGAAAAGGTATCATTTTAAACCACCCTTTAAGCAGGGGTCCTCAAACTTTTTAAAGATGGGGCCAGTTCACTGTCCCTCAGACCATTGGAGGACTGGACTGTGGGCCTCAGGACTAGTCGGCTGCTAAGCAGGACAGGCAACGGCAGCAAAAATACCCAGCGGGCCAGATAAATGTCCTAGGTGGGCAACATGTGGCCCGCGAGCCACAGTTTGAGGACTCCTGCTTTAAAGTGTCAAGTGGGGCCCAGGTGCGGTGGCTCATGATAAACCCTAGCACTCTGGGAGGCCGGGGCAGGTGGATTGCCTAGGCTCAGGAGTTTGAGACCACCCTGAGCAAGATCTCGACTTTGTCTCTAAAACAACCAGCTAGGCATTGTGGCAGGTCCTATAGTCCCAGCTACTTGGGAGGTTGAGGCAAGGGAATCACTTAAGTCCCGGAGTTTGAGGTTGCTATGAGCTATGACATCATAGTACTCTACACCACGGGATCACAAAGTGAGACTCTGTTTCAAAAGAAAAAAAAAGAAGCCTGGGCAGTGCTTGTGGCTCAAAAGAGTAAGGCCCCAACCCCATATACCAGAGGTGGTGGGTTAGCCCCAGCCAAAAACTGCAGAACAAAAAAGAAGCCTTAAATTTTTTTTTTTGTTTTTTTGAGACAGAGTCTCAAGCTGTCACCCTGAGTAGAGTGCCATTGCGTCACAGCTCGCAGCAACCTCAAACTCTTGGGCTTAAGTGATTGTCTTGCCTCAGCCTCCCAAGTAGGTGGAACTACAGGTGTTTGCCACAACACCTCGGCTATTTTTTGGTTGTAGTTGTCATTGTTGTTTGGCAGGCCCAGGCTGGATTCAAATCTACCAGCTCTGGTGTATGTAGCTGGTGCCATAGCTGCTTGAGCTACAGGCGCCAAGACCAGAAGCGTAAAATTTTTAAGACAGCAGAACTTGCCAGGCATGGTATCTCATGCCTACAATTCTAGCACTCTGGGAGGCCAAGGCAGGTGGCTTGCCTGAGCTCAAGGTTTTGAGACCAGCCTGAGCAAGTGTAAGACTCCATCTCACTAAAAATAGAAAAACTAGTGGGGCATGATGGCAGGGACCTTTAGTACAAGATACTCAGGTGAGACTCAAAAGAAAAAAAGTAGCAATTGGCAGAATTAAAACCAGTAATTGAATTGAGGACATGGAGCTGTGTTTCTTTCTTTTTTGTGTGTGGTTTTTTGGCCCGGGCTGGGTTTGAACCTGCCACCTCTGGCATATGGGGCCAGTGCCCTATTCTTTTGAGCCACAGGCGCCACCCAGCATTTCTTTCTTTCTTTTTCTTTTAGAGGCAGAGTCTCACTTTGTCATCCTCAGTAGAGTGCTGTGGAGTCACAACTCACAGTAAACTCCAGCTCTTGGGCTTAGGTGATTCTCTTGCCTCACCCTTCCAAGTAGCTGGGACTACAGATGCCCACCACAACACCTGGCTATATTTTTGTTGTAGTTTGGCCAGGGCTGGGTTTGAACTCACTAACCTTGGTATATGGGGCCAGTACTCTACTCACTGAGCCACAGGCACTGCCCTCTTTTTTATTTTTTTTTTTTGCAGCTTTTGACCAGGGCTGGGTTTGAACCCTCCACCTCCAGCATATGGGGCCGGTGCTGTACTCCTTTGAGCCACAGGCACTGCCCGACTTTTTTTTTTTTTTTTTATTTCGGGCTCCTTTATGAATATTTACAGAACATCAACTATAGGCAAAACACTGACATAATCATTGAAGATAACAGTGGGACAAATATATCAATTTTATGAGGAAACAAAAGCATTATCTACAAATCAATTATGAGATAAGTGTACTCATTACCACCACTCCTAGTAAAGTTGAAGATCCCAGCTAGTACAATTACGATAACTTAAAAATCCCAATGGTTTGTAAAAAAATAAAATACAAATTTCATTACTTCCGCATTACCGAGTCACTTGCAAGTTACCAAAAACAATAGAAAAATTCAGCAATGTAGCTAACTTCAAAATAACTATACAGTCTCAATACCTGTGGCTCAAGTGGCTAAGGCACCAGCCATGTACACCCAAGGTGGCGGGTTTGAATCCAGCCTGGGCCCGCCAAACAACAATGACGGCTGCAACCAAAAACATAGCC